GCTTCCTGCCAGACAGTCCATGTTTTTGCTCCCTCCCAGCTTCCTGCCAGACAGTCCATGTTTTTGCTCCCTCCCAGCTATCTGTAGGTCCCCGAGGACTGGATTGAGAAACACTGTAGTAAATAATAGTAAAAGGAGAGAGTGAGAGAGATCTACCAGTAACCGGGAAGCCGAGGGCTCATTTTGTTTTGCTGTGATCAGAGGGACATGCAAGGTTAGTTCACATTTCCAACATACCCAAACGTGGCTCCCTTCAGTGGCTTACGGTAAATGGCTTTTGATGATTTACGATGTCGACTGGGACAGGTGGCACCACAGTGCATATGTGCAATGAAGAAGAATTCAAAGAGGCCACTGGATTGGAAGAAAACTACTAGCGAAGCCCCGTCCCCACCCCCAGAAAGCCAGACAGCCAATCGCAGCAGAGAGAGGGAGAGAGAGAGAGAGAGAGAGAGAGAAAAAGGCCGGACGGGGCGAGAAGACACATGATTGGTTAGCTGGTTGGTGACGGAGACCGGTCACTTACGGAGTTCCTGTGCTCTCAAAAGCGGGAAAGCTCTGGACTCAAACTGGAAGGTAAAGAGAGTCTTTGGGTTTGTACGTCTTACCTTACCTTACGTCTTAGACGTGCTACCTTACCGAGGGCTACAACTTTAAACAGACAAGAGAGACATCTGACACAGTTTGGTCTGCTGCATAAAAGGGACACCAGAAACGCCGCGGGAACTTGCGAAAAAGCAAGAGATTTGTTTTTAAGTTACAGAAAATGAGTCATTGTTACACGTTGACGATGCCATATGTTGTGCTTTGTGAAATCACAGCAGGTTACTTAACAAAAAATGTTATGTTATATTTGTTAAAAACTAAATCCTACAGAAGAGACATTTCTGAACTGGGCCAGAATTTTGTGTCAAATCATTCAGTGAAGCTTTTGCCTTTATATTAGGTGAGAATTTTAACACTTGGTTATTTATTAGGTTACCAGTTAGGTGTTACCAGTGTTGGATCCCAATTGTTTTTATGAATTACTGTCTTGCTTAGCTTAGAACACTTTTTTTTTTCTCCCCCACAGTAACAATCTTTTTTTTTTTAAACTTTAAAAATTCACATATTCACCCATCCACAGCTACAGTTAATGTCACATATAAACCCAGGAGACCCATAGTTACAACCAACTGCAGAATTGCGCCTCACAAAGCAAATCAAACAATACATCTCTCCAGTAATCATTTCAACAGTAACAACAAGGACATCCAAAAGGGTGAGGAAAAGAGGGGTGGAGAGGGAGAGAGAGAGGGGGAAAGGGGGGGGGGCAAGCAGGCAGCAATTGAGTCACATGGTCACTTGCTTTTACGGGCCCAAAAGTACCTCCCATGACCTCATGTCATACCGGTCACCATGACTACAGCCCTATTCAAATATATTTAAAAAGTATTGAAACTTTTCGGGGGGGGAGGGAGGGGAAAAAAAAGGACATTTTGTATGAAGAAAAATTTATTTTTTTCCCGTTTTCAAAGTATAAAGTCACATACATCCAGGGTCATTTTTCAACATGACATGGCTCTGGAGCTCCCAGTAGCATGCATGCTATAAATCGCTTTAATATACACATTTTAGATTATATATATATATATTTTTTTGTTCTTCTTTTGCTTACGACAAAAACGAGTTTGATAGGAAAGACATCAATAATATAGACTGTTATATAAACCATTATATAGACTTATATAGACCACCAGCCTTGCGGACATGTGGCTGCCTGCCTGCCATTCTGGTTCATTCCCATCGCATCTGGACACGTACGTAGCAGGGTCAACGAGAAAGCTGGCACAAAGTACACAAACGGCTCAGCGGATATAACGTAACGTAAAATGAAATAATCAGCTGGAATAACATGAGTCACTAAAGATCAGTCGGGAGACAACTGGGAACCAACGAACCAGCAAAGGATGCTGGGAAAGGAGCTGGGGCCTTGGTCACTTCAGTCACCTTGGAAACACAGTGAAAGACCAAGTTTAGAAACATGGAGGGGGAGGGACGGGGCACCTGGGCCCCCAGGGATGCTGGGTTCACTGCTTTTTGTGCAAAAAAAGTCACCATAATATCAATATCGAAACAAAATTAGCAACTTAAAAAAAATGCTTTGGAAGGCTAGTGGAGGGAGATGGAGCCTTGAAGACCTTGGTCATTAGCAGTAGCATACAGAACAAAATCCTCTTTCCTGTTCATCCTCAACGTCGGCAATAGACGGGAAGAGACAAGGAGGAGGTTCAGGATCAGCCAATCAGCCAAAGGCTACACATGGCTCAGGGAGATGACATGACTCAGTATCAAATGTGATTGGACAGGATTCGGACTGTACCACATTGGATGGGGGGGGGGGAGAGGGTGGTGACCATAAGAATCACAGTACCGGTCCAGCGTGAATTTCAGAATTGCATACAGCTTGGACATTGTGGTTTAGTCCATTACCACCTGCACACCGATGTCTGACTACTGCTTTCACATCAGAGCTGCAGTTTCAATCCTTGTATTTTTGTGCAGAGGACACATCAACAGAGGTGGATCAACTCACATCTAAAAGCTGGAATGGAAATTGATGACATCAAATGACAATGGACCTACTAATTCCCTTACAAATATGTCCATCTTCAGATTCCTTTTGAGAAAGTAATACAGACACATTAAAATATGCCTGAAATAGGGGAAAAAAAAACTTGGCAAAAAAATGCCTCAGCAGTCAACACTAAACAGCAGCATATATGTGACACGTTACTCAAACATAATCTTGTCGTTATTTCATCAAGTATTACTTTGTCATCAGGTGTGGGATCCAGAAAAGTTAATCAGGCCCACAGAGCATCTTTGTAAGGGTTTCCTTATGCACTGTGAACAAGGACTGATGGAAAGATGCTTTGCACTATGGAAAACTAAACAGTGGGAGGAGCTACAACAGTTACAGGGTCCAATCAGATCCTGGCAGTTCCACTTGACGGACATGCAAGGCCAACAATGGCAGCGTTCTTCCCATTCTGACTTACGCAAATGCAGCCGTCTCTTGCTGTTACAAGACATTCCTCTACTAGATGCAAAGTGTAGGAGGGGCCATGTGGAAAATGAGGCGGGGCCATTTGAAGCCACACCCCTTCCCAGTGCAGCATCACAGGAAATATGTACTGGTTCTCACGCCTGAACCGATTTCAGAAACGAGGATTTACATTAGATTTCACACAATATCTGATTCACAAAACAAATAAAATAAACACACTGATACTGGCTCATAACCAGGTCTTGCTTTAAAGTCCTGGCCGCAGAACAAAGTCGAGAAAACCACCATCCATTTGCAAAACATAAATCCCATTTCATCATTAGCAGCCATTTTATACATATAATTTTCATGTTATAGGATCATTACTTTTCATCACGTCCAGCAGTCCTACTCATCAGCTGAGTCTCATTTAGCAGCACAGAAACAAACTTTTAGAAAAATATATCTCATTTCAATATTTCCAAAACGGAGAAACGCAAACATCACATCACAAAAAGGAGAGAGAAATCTCAAAGGATGTGAAGTACCAAACCTTTTGTAATACAAATCCAAGCAAGAATTCTTTCTTTCTTTCTTTCTTTCTTTCTTAAAATCCAGTCCCCCATGGTCTAACCCTGGAACTCCTTCCACATTCCTTCCTTGGTGTGGCTTTTTATTAAAAGTGTGTCCATGACAATGAACGACAAGAAGCGGACTGACGGTGATTGGTCAGACAACGTGTCTCTGTTCACAGCGGAGAGAAATTATTCTTTTAACGTTGCCAGTTCATCCTTCAAATCCACAAAAAATAAAAATAAAAAAATGAAGTGTGTGAGACCAGCAAACGTTGCATTGTCTCCTTGACGGTCCATCCCGTTCTTCTGATTAATGGAGATCTGGAGTCCATAAAAGTGTGGGTCACACTTGCACACACACACGCATTAACCGTGGCCCTTCTGCCCAATCTTGGGGGGCATTCTGACCCACCGTGGGGCAGGGGTAGACTGGGGATGACAAAATGACAGGACACGCCCAGCCCTCCCCAGTAAGGGAGATGGGTGGGGGGGAGGGGATGCAAAAACAGAGCCAGCAGAGGTGTAGGCCGGATGGGTGCTGTGCTATTCAGATCTGCATGTGTCTGTCTGCTCTCACACTGTCGAGATCAATTTGCCATCGGAACTGCGGGACAGAGAGAAGAAGGAAGCTCGCCAGGTCTGACATGGAGCAAGACAACCACTAGGGGGCAGAAGTGGATTTAGGAAGGGGGGAGGCTGTTTTTCCTGCATGTCCTAACCCCCCTTATCCCTAACCCAGTCCTGCCACATCAAGGAAGCCCTTCCCACCTAACAAGATCTGACTTCTGATCACATGTTCAACCTCAACATCGATTTTTTTTTTCAGAACCTTTGAAATATTTGCCTTTTACGTCTGGGGTTCAAAAATATGCCAAAATGTGAATTCAGTTTTTTTTTTTTGCAACATTCACCACAAGTGTTTCAAATATTGATATTTATATTTTAGAGCTATCGAGTCCATTCCAGTAAAGAAAGAAGTAATGGGAAGTGTATTTTTTCTTATTGGGGTAGGGGAAGCCATTATTTGATTGGCACTGCAGTCCACTGTGATGGTCACGTAACTGAGGCCATTAATTCTCTTTTGTCTGAACTGTATATGGTTTCCCAGTAAGAGGCGAAGCCAGTCCCTTGTTTGCTAAGGGGCGACATTTCAAAGATTCTCGAAAACCCAAGATGGCCAAGGTTGCCAAAGGGGAGGTGATCATAGCCGTCTCGTTAGTGGGGGAAGCGGAAATGAGAAGAAAGGAACTTGGGTAAAAATAAATAAATAAATGACATCAGTCAGTGTTAGGATCTTCAGAGTCTCATGGGTGCCGACTGTGATGTCAGAGGTAGATTTATCTTAACGCCGTGCGATGATGTCACTAAGCCCAAAAACACTGTGTCCTTCAGAACAAACCCTCACTTTAACTCACCCTGCTCAGTCACATCACCCACAGACACACCCTCCCCCAGCCCACACAGTTCTCAGGTTAGCTACCAGTTCCACCTGATGGAACTAAATGTATTCCGAACTCAAGATGCTCAAAACACTATCAAAGAGGCGGCAGACGTTGCAAGAGCAAGTAAAACGCTGAGGAAATAGTGGAATATAAAGAAATAGAGGGAAAGAATAAAGTATCTGGACCAAGAGCACATCTATGGGACCAAGCATATCAGCTAGGAGAGAACCATCAACCAAACTGAGTACCCAGGGCATAAACATAAACATTGTCATACAGTCTACCTCTACAGTGTCTACATATTAGGCCAGGAAATAGGCGAAGAGTTACTATCTCAAGCAAAATCTAATATCCACATACACCCTGACCCAGAAGGTCAAAGGTTATGGATACAGTAGCAGGGCTGGATAAATGCTCCTCCCAAAAACTGCTAGAGGAGCAGCTAACTTCCATGTTCCTGCAGCCGGAAGATGGAATGTGTCATCTTGGCACTGTCACCCCTACAGGTCTATACTTAACAGGGACACTGCGGTCTCACCTTGTAGGAAACCGGTCTTCGTACCCATCATGTGCTGGCTGAAGAAAAAGAAGAAAAACGAGGGCGTGAGAAGTGTGGCCGTAACGGGATTCCAGCAAAGACATTATAAAAGTATGTTTGTAGTTTAGATATAACACATCAAGGTCATTACATCTGGTTTACTCATCATTTATCCAGAGCGTGAAGCTATTTAGTTACATCTGGCTAAGCAAGCTGTAAATTCACATCACTGATTCAAACACCCAAATCTGAAAAAGTAAAGAAAGCCAAAAAAAAAAAACACCTCAAACTGAATTTACAACCGTTGCCAGCAGATGGCGCCATTAGCTCACAGTGTGCGGCTGTCACATAGCTATTCACTGACGGATTAAGCTGTATTTTGCTCGACCAATTCAGGTCATGTATCTTCTTGCCTAAATACTGGAGCCCCAGGTCCAGAGCTTGAATCAATATGCTTCCTGTAGCCCTAACAATTAAATACCTTCACTAGGCACAGTATTGCATGTATTGTTTTATTATATCGATTGTCTTGATGGTCCTTGGCTATTTTGCATGACACCCTAAAATATACCACTTTTATGTAAAATGATTTGGAGATACATAAACAATTTTGATTCTGATTTTCCTTTTCCTCTAATGATTTTGGTGGCCCTCAAAGCCAAGTAAAAAATTCTGCTCCCTTCCCACAATGCAGTGCGGTAACGCAGGACCCTGAAAATACAAGCACGCTGGAATGCAGGTTTTACTCAGAGGCGTTTCCATATGCCAAAGCTACCTTCGTCGGTCTGCAACCCACTTTCATCTTTTTAATTAGGAGCCATTGCTTGGATTAATGCGAGAGGCATCCAGCGGGTGTGTGGGCGTGGGGGCGCGCTCTCACCTGCGAGAAGCCCGACAGCGCCACACTGTAGGGGCGGGGCCTGCTGTGAGTCAGGTTCTGTGCCAGCATTCGGGCTGTCAGGCCGTAGTCGGCCGCTGGAAAGCCCAAGTCGTCCCGCTCCAGCAGGTTCCCCGTGCTGCTGCTCTTCCCATGGTGCAGGCTGCACGAATACAGGAAGCTCAGCGCTGCTGCTGAACACAGAGGGGCTCAGGGCCGAGGTACTGAACACAGTGCATGCTGACGTGAGCTGCAGGACTCGACACAGAGGGGCTCAGGGCCACAGTATTGAACACAGGCATGCAGACATGATGCAGTACCAGACACAGGGATGCTTATGTGAGCTGTGGTACTGAGCACGGACACACTTGCAGGCCCAGGGCCATAGTATGGAACACAGTCACGCTGATAATTGCAGTAGTCGACACAGATATGCTGATGGCATTTGTAATACTGAACACAAACAGGCCCGTTGTACCGAACACAGGCACGCTAGTGTCAGCTGCATTACTGAACACAGGCACGCTAGAGTCAGCTGCATTGCTGAACACAGGCACGCTAGTGTCAGCTGCATTACTGAACACAGGCACGCTAGTGTCAGCTGTATTACTGAACACAGGCACGCTAGTGTCGGCTGCATTACTGAACACAGGCACGCTAGTGTCAACTGCATTACTGAACACAGGCACACTAGAGTCAGCTGCATTAACACAGGCATGCTGATGTGAGATGCACTGCTGTGCATGTGCCCCATGCAGTGACGAGCAATATGAAAGGATACATTGACTGTTTGGCCACACCCAAGACAGATGAACAGCCAGGTGGCCAGGCGGACGCTTACTTGACTCTGAGCTTGTCGCTCTCGCTGTCTGGCAGTACACGTGTGTAGGAGAAGGGGAACCAACCACGCCTATAATGAAGAAGTTAGGGGGAAGAGAGACCATTTGGACAGGAAGAACAGTACTATAGAAGCAGCCATAATTCATTATCATAATTATCCAATGATACGTTTTGAATAGGTGAGTGACATGGGAGGACCCGCTCCATGGGCCAATCAGCTGGGGCCAGTGCCCCTCTGACCCCGCCCCATATGCACCTCTGACCATAACAAATGATTAATATATAAACCAAACCAGCAATTCTTTATTGAGATAATTAAATTCTAAGTGGAGTGTTTACCTGGTCCTTTTGAACTGAGAATTCAAAAAAGCTTTCACATTTTGCATTAAAATGATCAGTTAGAATGTGCTTAGTTGCACGAGTAAGAGATGTAGGTTTGGGGTGAGGACCAGTGTTCCGGTAGAGCCGGTGCTGAATGGATCCGTGTAACTGTGTAATGATAAAAGGCCGACGGGATCGCGGTGGACATGCAGACCAGAGGCAGCTGTGTGTTAGAGTCGTGAAACTGCTCGACAGTGTGGTCCAGTGAGGAAGTGCACATGCTACCGGCCCCTTCCGGCCCCCCTTCTGGCCCCCCCTCCGGCCCCCCTTCCGGCCCGCGCGCTCACATCTTGTTCTTCTCGTTCTCGCCATAGTGCCAGCCGTCCCGCGCCTCCGGCACCAGCAGGGTGATGATGTCACCCTCGGTGAAACTCAGAAGTGTGCGGTTGTCTCCGGCGGTGTGGGAGAAGATGGCCTGCACGCGAGTCCGGCCATTACGCTCCAGCCCTGCCGCCATTGAGCTGGACCTGGGCAGTGTCCTGGTCTCACCTGCAGGGGGCGATGAACACAACAGCACCGGCTACACTCAGGCATCTGCTTTAAAATTAATTTTAAACCCTATTGCAGAGACGTCTGCCTTCTACCTTGCTTATACAGCTCAAATGCTTCTCTCTTTAATATGCAACTTGAACTTTGTCCAAAGAGTCCGACCCTGAAAAGACCTACGTTTTATAGTTTGCCATGAGATTAGGAGGCTGCAGGACCCGACTATCGGGGAGCGATAAACAGCCTCTCTACCAGAGAGTTGGTCTTTGTAAAGAGATTGGACATAATCGCTTTTTTTCCCAGCTCTTGATGAGGTAAGACTGGAAGGAACCAAATCCGGCTTTGCGGGGGGAGGTAGGCTTACCCACAGAAGCCTTGCTCTTGGCGGGTGCCGGCTTGCGGACAGGCAGCGTGTTGGAGTACACGTCGCTGACCTGCCTCTGGGTCTGGGCTTGTGGCTGGGGGGAGGATGACCGTACCTGGCCCGCTGGGCCCTCGGCCCAGTGCTGGTAATCATCCCCATGGACCCCCGTCGTGCCATTCATCAGGGACATTCCGTCCGCTCCCAGCATCCTCTGGGATCGGACACACACGAGCACAAAAACAGGCGATTTAAATAAAATTGAAAAAACGACACGCATTCGCAGGGCTGAGGCCACACCACACTGGGACACCAACAATTTGCACCCCCCCCCCCCAAAAAAAAAAAAAAAAAAAAAGTGTCACTGATTTCCCCCAGTGGCTTTAAAAATAGGTCTCTAGACGTGGTTTCTAAGTAGCTGGGGCGGGGTTAGCGAATGCTGCGTTGAGGCACACTATGCATAATCTACAATAAGTAATAATTTAGCACGCTGCAAAGTGTGTCGAGTGTGTTCTGAGGCGCCCCTGTAATTAATATGCGCTGCTTAACGACTTCATTTACACCCATAGCCTAGTAAACAGAGGAGGTGTTGCAAGGCTAGCCGAGAAATCCCTACATCCCAGCCCACACCCAGACCTGCCAGCCAAAGCCACGGTGGGGGGGGGGGAGGGGTCTCATTAAGCACATGGCAGGGAGGGTGCTTGCGTTTGCAGTCCGGGGTGGGGAGGGAGCTGCATTAATGAGGTGGGGATTTGGGAGGCGCGCACCCACCCATCCGGGGCTCTGTCCCTCGTAAACGAAGCAGAATAAAGGGGGGGTCCGTGAAAGCTGCGTACTGAAAGAGCAGTACGGTGTGGACAATCTGTACCGAGATCCTGCTCCGGGAAGTTTTGGACAGGAGGTTCTGAACGAGGGGGGAGTGCAGAGCCAGATTGTGAATAATCTAAACATACTCCCTCCAAAACTTAGCACCCCCCCTTCTCATGCAAAATAGAAGCTGCGACAGCTGCACATCCAGCGTTTATAAAAGGGGCAACAGTACAAAAAAAAAAAAAAGTAGCTGTCAGTGGCGCCCCCTGGGGGTGGAATTGAAGGAACTCTGGTCATTAAGAAAAGAGCTGAGGCCGGCTTCCTGTTTTGGCCTAGGGGGGGCCTCAGGACAACACCTTCTGATTGGCCACATGGCATGAGCTGCTCTTGCCGAATAGGCCGGAAAATGAAGGGGGAGGATTAAAAAAAAATAATAATAATAAAAAATCCATTTGTTTTTCTCATTTTCCCCAGGGAACTGAAGGCTTGCTGAGGCCAATCCGGGTCTCTCTGCTCTATTTATTTAGCTTGCATGACTCAAGGTTCATTGGGGTTTAAGGGTTAAGTCAGAGGGCAAGAGCCATTTTTTTCCCCCAACAAAAACATCCAAAAAGCAGGACTTACCTGGGAGCTGCCCATGAAGGCTGCCAGCTCGGGGGGCACCGGCAGCGGCTGGGCCCCGGGGATGGGGTCAGAGATGACTAGGTTGCTTTTGGAGGAGTGCAGAGGGCTGGAGATGAGGCCTCCGCCCGGCGCGGTGAGCTGCTGTGCGAGGATGATGGCTCGCTCCGGGAGCTTGTTGGGGTCCGAGCAGGACTGCTGCCAGATCGGGATCTTCTGGGTCAGGAGATCTTTGCCCTAGATGCAAGGAAAACCAACATTGACCCTAAGATCCACGGGGGTCCATCTACAGTCACAATAACTGGAAAACAATCACCCGTAATGATGCTCCAGGAAAGCTGGAGAGAAATCAATTAAAGGGTTTAATTAGATTTTTATCAGATCGTTAATGACAGTTCCAGCACCAAGTTGTTAATTAAAACTCTTCATAAAGATGGTAGTACTGGTAAGAGCTTAATGAGCTGGGAAGGCAGGGGTACCCAGAGACCGCAGTGTGCTGAGTGCGTCCAACTGCAGGGGGCATAGCATGTTGCCGACGTGGGTGTAAAAGGCCCCACCGAGCTCGCCACGCCACGCCACGCCACACACCACCACGCCCATACACAACAGCCCTGCCTGGCTGCGATTCACATTGGCTGGCTGCTCCATCCCTCATCTTCCGTCCATCCATCCATCCATCTGTACCCACATCATCTTCCATCCATCCATCCATCCATCTGTACCCACATCATCTTCCATCCATCCATCCATCCATCCATCCATCTGTACCCACATCATCTTCCATCCATCCATCCATTCCCCCCTGCCCCCCTCATTGTGAGTGAAGGATACAGGGATACAGTACAATCTGAGGTCCGCCCCCCCATCTCATTTACCTCCTGTCTATGAGTCACATAGACAACCGTTTGTCTCTGTCTCCCCCCCCACTTTAGAGAGCACTTTAGCAGGATCAGACCGAACCCCTCCCACACACGCCCACACACGGTGGTTAGCGGCTGGACCTGACATTCTCCATGTGCCCCCCCCCCCCCGAGCCCTTCTCTCTCTCTGGGCATCAAGCAGCTCCGTCCAGAGAGAGAGACTGGGGCTGCCATTCAAGATCTTCCCAAAGAGCATGCATCTCTCTCTCTCACACACACACACACACACACGCACACGCACACGCTCCCAGAGATCCTTTCAGCACACGTCACATGAATGCCACAGTGACTCAGCAATCTTATGACAGACCGGCTGTAAATGAGTGACAGTAAATACCATGTTTGACGGCGCGATTGGTGGCTTGTCATGGCAAGTCGGATCAATGGCGCCGATACCCGGCCAGCTTGAAAGGCATCTCATTGTCGTTCGTTTATCGAGCACCAAGAAGCTAAACATTTGAGACTGAGGCTCCATTGTTTCCCCCTCACCTGACCTCTGACCCCACGCCCCCCTCACCTGACCTCTGACCCCACGCCCCCCTCACCTTGCCGTGGTAGGCGTTGCTGTTCTTGGCCACGGCACACTGGCGGTCCACTAAGAAGCAATACCTCCTCCGCTCCTCCGAGAGCGCCGTCTTGTAGCTCTCGGCGATGTAGCTGTCAAGGTCGCTCTGCTTGCTGCCGATGGTCTCCACGTACTGGGGGGGGGGGGGGGAGAGATGTTACAGAACAGAAGATGGATGCAAATATTACATATATCTAAATGCACATCTCATGCCTCAGACTCAGGGCTTGGCTGTGCTGTATTAAAGGGGTCTCCCATCAGTTTGCACGGTACGTCGGTTTTCTCTCCGCTAATTACCAGTTTAGCTTCTGTTCCTCTAATTAAATCACACACTTTGCATAAGTTTGAATGATTGTGCGAGATGGACTGGCATCCCATCCAGAGTGTAATCCTGCTTTGTTCCCTGTGCTCTCATGGACAAAGGGGCTGGAATTCATATATATATATATATATATATATATATATATATACACATACATATACACGGGAAATGCAGAATCATGTATAATCATAATTCTCTAAACATGAGGTACGTTCAAAAAAGTGAATGTGTTACCAATGAAGCGAATATTTATAGCCCAGTTAATTGTTCATGGACTACTAATTAATTGAAATACCAGAAACCAAACTTATTCAGCAGGAATAAAAATCCTTTTCTTTGGGTAAAGCCTATTTACCGAGGCAATTCATGTCACAGCCACAGACGCAACAGCACCTAGATCACGGCTCGTCTTCAGATAACGAGTTTGGCTGAATGCAATTTGCATCAGAAGGATTGTATAATCAACGGTCCTGGCGTCGGGAGAAGCTTAATCAAGAGCCTGCCCGGAATGTACCGGAATACCAAGCGATCCCCAGACTTCATTTTCACTATAGCAGTGATTTGGGATAGATCCTACTTGGCCAGATGAAGGGGACTCAACACAAATAAATGAGAAAAAAAATCAAACCGAAATCTGAACATGCTTTGATTACCTTACTTTAAAATGGAACATTGTGACATCAGCTTTACAGCCAAATGTGCAAATAGTGTTCTGCCTTTAATGCAAGAAATAGTATTTTATGCATTAATGACTCACACAGAAGACTCCTTGGAGATTACGGCCAAGTGGAGTCAAAACAAAGAAGTGGACGGGTTACTGCGGCATGCTGGGAAATGACTGAACCAAATGTCTTGTGCAGGGTTTCCCAGTTCCGGTCCTGGAGGGCCGGATTGCAACACAACTTGCAAATTAACCTGCTCAAAAGACAAAGTATTTAGCTTAACAGCCAATTGCCAGGTTTAGTGGGTGTGTTTGTGCGGGGAAATCTGCAAAGTGTGTCACAGCCCCTCTAGGATCGGACGTAGGGATCCCTGATCTACAGCTTAATCACCGAAGTTGTAAATAGCTCTGCACGTTGGGTCTAGTCAAGTGACAGTTTGTCTTTAAGTGTCTCTCATCCTCAAGAGGCAGACACAGGTTGATGAACCAATCTGCAATGCACACACTCAAACCTCACTAGGCAGGGGGCGTGTCCACCGTGAAAAGGACACGCCCACCTGTAGCATGCAGAACCTCATCACCGGGCAGATGTTCGCTCTAAGCTGAAGCTGTGCCACCACAGGAACTCTGTCTGAGAGGCATCGATTTCCATGGCAACAAGGTGCCTAAGACGACGTCCCCTGTGCACAAGTGACAGGCTACATCAAACACCAAACACCAAACACCCCCCCCCCACCAACGGGGCCTAATTACTCTGAATAAATAATGAAAACATAACTCCAAATGCCGTAAGATGGGGAATAAACCATAATCTCCTCTCTGTTCCCTCCCCATTTCAACTCATCAGGCAGCGAACAAATGAAAATAATCTGGAAGCAGTTTGAGACACTTGGGTTGAGATGGTCACCAATGGTGCAGAGTAAGGTCTCCTCCTTTTTTTTTGGGGTGACATTTGGGGTTGAACAGACTTTCTGGGGAGTTCCAGAAACCCAAGAAAGTTTTGTGACTGAATGTTGCTGTGGAGAGGTGACTGCCGGTGGGGGTGTGTACAGGGGGGAGGGGCTACAGGTCCCATCTGGAAGGTGATTGGCCCCTGGAGTTGCTTCATTGCTGCCTTTTTAGGTTGTCACCTCCTACCCCCACTTGGACAACACTGGGGGCATCAGCTACGCCAGTGAGGTATCGCACTGAGCACAGGAACATGACTTGGCCGCTTGGCGAAAAAGCCAGCGGACCAGACCAAACTGGCAACACCAAACTAGGGTGTTTTTTCCACGGTGGGGGCATACGAGGGACCATAATTCATACAGAGGGGCCAACCTTATTGGTAGCCAATGATGCATTTGGAATCATTCAGTGACAGGGAAGGAGGGGGGGGTGCTTTGGCAGCCAATCAGCTTTCAGCTGCCCCCCATACACCCCTGCGCCAAATGGACTGACTTCCATTTCCCCTCATACAGGCAGGAGGTAGGATCATGACCGGAAGCCTGAAAGCTAACCAGCAGACCCAGTACTGCAGCGGTACCATTAGTACCCCAGCACCAAGCCAGTAGAGATGTGACAGCGTGCCCATGACTAGTCAGAATCTCCCAGATTGTGGACAGCAGGGGGGCCAAGAATTCTGATGAGTCAGCAGGATGACAGGGGACACAGGAGCTGGAACACAGTTTGTGCCGTCGCTCCCGCCGTCCTCGGGCGGGGCCTTGAGTCATCCGGCCCACCGAGAGGCCAGGCGAATAGGAGGGGCACTGGGTGACTGCGCCATTGGACGGTTAAGTCGCAGTAACACACGAATCCCGCCCACCTACACTGGTACCGGTCCAGGCTGCGCTGTTCACCAGTGTCAGCTCTTTCACAAGTTAGAGGAGTGCATCCTGTCTATACGAGACACAGCGTTATGCGCGTGGGTGGGTGCCAGTGTGAGAAGAGACACACACACACACACACACACACACACACACACACACACACACGTTTGTATCTATACCCTGATGTCTTTATGGAAAGGCCCCCCACCCTCTAAATGCAGAAATGTTTTTACCGTTTGTCCCGGAACGTGTTCTGTTCTAGTCACGGTTTTTTTTTCTCCCACAATGCACCTGTGCACTGCATACGAATACTTCAGGAGGTTCCTTCCCGTTCCAACAGATTCTCTAGCAGCTCCGACAGCTGCAGTGGCGTTCAAACAATTCGGTCCCCATGCTTAAGGGAAGAGCTGGACTGGGAGTTTGCTGGGTGTGTGTCTGTGTGAGTGAGTTGGGGGGGGGGGGGTACTTTGTTTATTAGCATCACTTCTGTCATGAAAAACAAGCAGCTGTGAAGAGCCGTGCCATCATCCTCCATGCCTTAGAGCTACTATGGTGAAGATCATTAGAATTCGAGGAAAGGTTTTTTCCTAACGAATACCGTTTCAAAGTCTGCTGTCAGGCCCCATTAGAGCAGTGATGGAAGAAAATGGCGGCAATTAGTTGCATTACGGGACTGGAAGAAACCAAAGGAGGGCAGTGAGAGGGAAGGTTCAGACCGTACCATACTCATAGCTGTGACTGGGGTTCAATGGGCTCAGCAAGATAGAAAGGTAGGCCTCCCTCATTAGAGAGCCTTACAGGCTCTGCCACATCCTTTGTTTTCCCAGGGAAACTGCGGTCACCCCCCCACCTTGAATGACAGCTTCCTCGCTGTTGTTTACAAGGTGACAAATGATTGCAAGCCTCTGCTTTAGCTCTCTAACCTCCTGGGCTGTGCTAGTGCTGTCGAAAGAAATGAGTTTCACTCCCTGTTGCCAGTGGCTCTGCTGCTCACACATCTGGGGCGAAGGAGGTGAGGGAAGCAGGGAATTAATCCTCAGGACTCGGCTGCAAGACGGTCTGGGATGGAGAGGACAGTTCTGAACAAGGCATGACCGAGCACCATGTTCTATGACCAGGGCAGTGAGCCAACCACTGGGTGACACAAATGTTGGGGATATTTCTGTGGAGGCTTCCCATTGCCTTCCATTTTGATGGAATTAACATCCAAATCCATCCATCCATCCTATATACCCAATTGTCCTACACAGGCTTGCGAGGATCCGGAGCCTTCCTCAGATGTTACGGCCATAAGGCAGGGGATTACCCAGGATGGGGTGCCGACCCATCACAGAACCCAAACCACTCCAAAATATGGAAATTTATGCAGCTCATGAAATTCATTTTATGAGAACCAGATTTTAGGGACGGCATTCTTTTCAAGGCTCTGTCAACTTGTGGGATTTGTGCAACACCTCGTGAAAGGCGCACACAAACACGCTACTGTAACCACATGCTCAGACTCCCTCCTTGACATGTACTCAGATTCACTCCCTGTACTATGGCTACAAACAGACATATCAGCTACGATGAGTAAGTGAGAACAGACATCTGATCACCGTGGAGACGCGATCAGCCCATCCTGTATGCTCTCCCAGAGCACATGGGCACACGCACCCACACGTGATTCAGACACAAAACACGCATGTTCTCACATTTCCTCACATACAACCGCTAACAATAAAACTGATCAAATATCAGGGAAAAAAAAGCTAGTCATAATATATCATAGGATATCTCAAACAGAAATGCTCGTACGAAGAACAAAATCCACGATCTCTAATCGTCGCTGTCCAGGGAAAAGCGCGCATGTTCAGTAGAGATGTGCATTTCAGTAACTGAGGCCAACGTGATACACGTCCCAATGCATTGCCAACGATCCGATATATTAAAGGTACATATGAGGCAGCTACTAATGCGATGCAGTGTGATTCCGTACGATTTGATCCAACACAATGCAATTCAACGCAATATGACCTGATGCTAAAGAATATGAAGCTACGCAATTCAATATGGTACAGGTACAGAAACGATCTAAAAATAAAACGACTGGTCAAAAATTGGTATTTCTAAAAAATAAGAGCATGTATAATAATTATACATTAATAAATTGTATTTTACCGAAAGATGTTAGAAGCAATTAATGCATCCCACGTTCATCCCAAATTGTATCTGGCGCACACTTTATTAACTGGGCCAGTCGCGCTGTAAAGCGCCGTATGCTGGTGCACCAGTGAATCGTACTGTCCTTATTGTCCACTATTGCGAATTTTCACTATAGCTGGAATACCCCCCCATTATCCTCGATCTGCTGATAGTGACCAACATCTAATTAGCCAAAGATGACTTCATAAAACATCCTATCACTCTCTAGAAGAGCTTTGTGAAATGCTAGATGTACAGTATGAGAGGGTACAGTTATGTCCAAACCTTTGTACTGGCTGTCGATAACCTACCGACTTCTTGGAAATAGTGAATAGGGTGATTTGGCTGGAACAAAATTGTATCCCATAGAATAATTTTAAAAAAAAATCCATTTAAAACTTTAAACTGTTCACTGACCGCTGTGTAAAGGTAGTTTTCTGTTTGCGGTGCTAAAGGTGTCTCATTATGTTAAGTTTATTTTGTAAAGTAGTTTCTGAGAACTTGCGGTTTTTTTTTCCCCCACGCTACTGAGATGCGCGTTTTTCATTGGACAGCGATAAAATGCACGTCACTGCTCAAAACCAACATGCGGCTTGGAAAAGGTACTCGCCTACAGAACATAATTGGATAGCTGATATCCATGTAGTCAGAATTCAGTTAGAGATATCTGTAACTGACAACCAAATGCTATAAACCATAACTAGTCACAGTTGAGTGGAATGCACTCCTTTCATTTTTTTCCACCCATTAAAAAAGTAGGCTATAGGGATTTATTAGCAAAGAACTTAATTTTCGGCTAATATTAAAATTGCAGGGCGGCATGGTGGTGCAGTGGTTAGCACTGTTGCCTCACACCTCTGGGATCTGGGTTCGAGTCTCCGCCTGGGTCACATGTGTGTGGAGCTTGCATGTTCTCCCCATGTCGTCGTGGGGTTTCCTCCGGGTACTCCGGTTTCCCCCCACAGTCCAAAGACATGCTGAGGCTAATTGGAGTTACTAAATTGCCCATAGGTGTGCATGTGCGAGTGAACGGTGTGTGAGTGTGCCCTGCAATGGGCTGGCCCCCCTAGTTGTTCCCTGCCTCGTGCCCGTTGCTTCCGGGATAGGCTCCGGACCCCCCGCGACCCAGTAGGATAAGCGGGTTGGACAATGGATGGATGGATTAAAATTGCATCTGAATTACAGAGCCAAGTGAATGAGAACAGCTGCGATTTGCGAACAGTCGGGCTAATTGTAGATATTGTGAGATGAACAGGCATATTTGAAAATGTGTTGTTTTCTTATTGGAAACTAAATTGCATTTACTCAGCTGGACTCAGGATAAATATATATGTCACTGTAGTTGTAATTACTATATATATATATGCATAAATAATTATGGCTATTAAGTATTAAATGTCGCAATGGGCAGATGTTCTTGGGCAATCCCACTGCAGTCACACACACACACACTTTTAATTTCAGCTGGCTGAGGTGGTCCCTCATGTCTCATTATCTAGCACTGGTGACACGCCGCTAATCTCTAGGTTCCAATTCCTAAAAACCCTCGCACCAGCCCCCCACCCCCCACCCCAACCTCAATCACAGTCCTTGGACTGAGTCAGCAGGATGGGGGCATAGGCGCCGTACCGAAGGCCCGCATGAGTCACCGCGCGTTCCCATCAGACGCTGCATGAGAGCGGCTCTCAAACACAAAAAGACTTCAGATCTATTGGTGGGCGGGACTTGCCGTGAGCTGTCAATCACTGCCTGCTATCGACCAATGGGAAGCGCCTGCCGGCTCCAAAGCTTCCAGATGGCTGGAAGCGGCCACCTCTGCTCACCTGAATCTCCTTGTCGCTATACTTGGATGGGTTCTTGCTCCCCTGGCTCTTCCTCCGCAGCTTCTTCAGCTCTGCCTGGCACTTTTCCAGGCTCTCACCTTTGCTCTTATGCTCCATCTGGTACTTCTTCAGTGCCGCCTGTGTGGGGGGGGGGGGGGAGATACTGGAGTTAGAGTTGTGGCACTTGAGGCGTACCCAGTGTCATTGTTGAGGGGGCTCCTGCTTTAAATCAGCCCTGTCTAGGGAGTATCCAAAAAAATATTCTGATTGCTGAAGCCCTGCAGATTACTCTTGATCTGTAGAAATGGAGGTCACATGACTGTCACATGACCCTGAGAGATAAATGTCCTTTTTCGGCAGTGCTCAATGCGCATGGAAGGCTTCCCCTGCCGTGCTTGCATCCGCATGTCTGCCTAGCAAACCTAATTTGATCCTCCTGACTGATGATTTGTTCACAATTTTCTCTGCATGAGCACCATTTTGCTGTGGCCCACTTCTTCCAAGGATATTAATCTTTTCATGGATGCCTGGAGTAATCTGATATTTGTCTTCCCTCAGTCAGGCTGCACAGTTCTTTAATATTAAACTTTAAAAATATGGATTTACTCTATTTCTTGCAAAAAAGATCTTTATGATGCTTGAATTAAATGAAAACTGCACTGATGTCAACTAGATTGCCGGGGATTTCAGTGTAGTTCCACTAGTACCTCTGGCCAATCAAATGACAGGCTTTAAATAACAAAGTTAATGATTGGCTTTTATCCTCCCACCTTACGTGCATTGAATAACATGGAACAGACATGGGCACACGCCATGGTTCTGGTAGGCCAGATGTTAGATCGTGGAAGATCAAAGGGTCTGAGGGAGCCAGGAGATCACAGGGAAGCGGGCGGAAGCCGCCTGCCGCCGCATGGGCGTGGCTTATCGCTGAAATGGGAGGAGTCATGTGACTCACGGTCAGGTAGCGAGCATCCAGCTCCACCTTCTTTTCCAGTTCGGTCAGCAGCTCGTTGTGGAATGACTTCAGCTGGGGAACGACATCGTGGGAAAACATGAGAACCAAAGAGCTGAACACAAGCCCCCTCAGCTCAGAATCCCGGGCGTTACAGCTCCATCTCGCCTTGATTCGTCATCAGGACCCGCTGCTTAACGGCTCCTACTAATTGCTCTTTAAAATTAGCGCAAGTGTTAACAGCCTTTGAAGAGCCTTTTTAAAAGCCTTTCTTGGGTAAATATTTCTGCCGATGAGAAACACAGAACATCACCGACCACATGAAGCGTTCGTCGTTACTGTGCACGAACAGCATCAGAACTCAAAACAGATGTCGCAAAGATCAAAAGGCAGTGCTTTTACTATGACGGTATATGACATATGAAGGCATATCTGAAGCGTAACAGGAATTTTTAATCCATCCTTTAAGACCTTTAAGTCATTTATGGCACCTGTAACAGTAGTTTTGTGTCTGGACCTTGGCCGCTCTATGACTAGTGGTCTTAGTTCTTACGAGAAGTGCATCATCGCCGAATCATGAGAATGTGATGGCCTGTTACTGCCTGTTGAAAAACCTTGCTTAATTTTTTAATATTCTGGCACCATTCATTATCCACGGAAAGCACTGCCCAAAGGAGACGGCTCTGATTGGTCCAGACCGAGGCAGGTAGGCTGAGAACATTCCAGAGATTTATCTAGACCTGTTCATTTTCCTGATGTCCTTCGGGTAAAGACAACGTCCGGAAGCCAATTCCCACGCCTCAACGACAAGTTTGTGGCATGAGTGCGCTTGGAGGCACGTACCATCTCCTCTAGCTGAACCTGGATCTGTCGATGAACTTCAGCCATCTGAAACAGCACGTCACCTGCACAAGGGCGACATCGAGAAGGGAGAAATGAGGGAGGCAGGGACCGGGGAAGATGTGAAAGAAAGAGACAGAGACAGAGTGAGGGAGAACGGAGGAGGAGAAAGAGCATCGATGAGAACCAAAGACCCTGCGAGAACTTCAGCGTGCACAAGAAAGCATGCAGACACAGGACCACACGGAGGACGAGCAACCAGCAGCAATGACGGAGGGGAGAAGACTGGGGGGGGGTGGGAACACAGGGCGGAACACTGGTCATGACACAGACAAACAGAGCAACAGTAAAAGACATTTATAAAACAGGAAACAAGACAAACGGAATGGAAGAGGGGGAACTACTTAGTTCTACGAAGAAAGAAAGAAAGAAAGAAAGAAAGAAAGCAGGGACAACTATTAAAAAACCACACACTGGAAAAAAAAGACATGTGCATTAATATGGAAAGGAAGAAAAACAAATCTGCTTTAAAAGAGTAAAAAAAGAAAGTCGAGTAAGAAAATTAAAATGCGGTTTTACCAAAACGTCATTAAATCCAATAATAAATTTCACAGAAATCTCTAACTGAAGCCTTAAAGAGGGGGTGGGGGGAGTGGGGGGCACGGGGACAGCCATGCAGCCGGGGACGTGTGTGTGGGCGTCGTGAACGATACCTACATGCTGCCTCATCTGAATTTGCAATGCATTGTAAAAACAAAAAAATAAAAATATATAAAAAAACACAGAACAGAGGATGTAGACTGAGCAGAGAGGGGAGCGAGACGACCTGGAGACGCTAGCCGGGGAAAAAATAAAATAAAAAATGGGACACAGAGGTTTCAAGACGAGGCCAAACCCCTTTGATAAGGACCAGATAGCCTGCTGGCTGCCCCCAGACCTCAACCCTTCCCAGAATGCACTGGGGTTCAAATCACCCATCTACGTGAATTCTTAGGACCACTGCGAGCCAGAAACGATGCAGCGCGACTGAAACGTCAAAGGCCAGAGAGGCTAATCTAATTCCAGTTTTTTATTCCTGTGATTCTGGGGAGATTGATGCAAAACTAAATAAGTTGCTTGTGATCCCTGGCTTCAGGGAAAGCTGAGTCAAAGTAATGTCGGGGGGGGGGAGGAGGTTTCATAACGAATCAGTAGCCTCCTGTTTAATGCAAACATTAACATTACACTGAATGAAGAACGGAGCTAATGGTAATCACACGCTGAATCACATGCTGTGAGGCAGCATTAGCGCCCGCAGCGGATTAGCATACACAGGGTACAGGGCGGAGGATGTTGCTTGGGGGGGTGGGGGGGATTCCTGCTCCCACATGCCTTGGGTGCTCTGAGCCACATTTGTATCTGAGAACATCGCCTGTACGGTCTAACCAGCTACTGGAAGAGACACAGTCAATAGAGGCACTGCAATAGGTGCTGAAAGCGGCCATTTTGGTGTCGGGAGGTAAGTAAGTAAATAAGTAAATAACAGCCTTCATTTCTTGAATTCCTTCCACAGTGTTGGGCTATTGGGAAGAAGCAGCGATCCTCAAAGTGGCACAGTGGAATTCCGAAACCATGGCAACGCGGCGGTCCTGCTCGGCCCTGGTGATACGCTGGTCTGTTTACAGACACTGAAGAAGTCAGGCTCCTCAACGACTGCTGGAGGCCACGCAGACAGGGAGCGAGACTGGCTAATGGACTGTTGTTTTGTGGGGGGGGAGGAGGGGGGTGCAGTTTTGGACACAGCCTTGACTCCCAGCTCCAGGTGTGAGACCAACCCTGTCGGAGTTCGTAGTAAGGGGGTTTGGACTGGACTATATTAACTCACACAGTGGATAGGATGTGGACTGTTACATAGAAAAAGAGGCTTCTTTTTGCACAGGGAATGTAGTTATCTGCACACCGACTCCAGCAAAAATTAAATAGCAACAAATTAAAATGCAGGGAGGCAGCCAGTCTTTGACATAAGCAGCTCTGTACTTTTGTCTCCTCCTACTGCCAAAAGAGCAAAGCTACCAGCCTGCAGAACAGAGAACCAACTGACATATTCACTGGGTTAGCGGCGTAAACATGGATGTGAGCCGGCCAATCAGATCCATCAAAATCTTAGTGCAAGGGGAATGATCAAGGTCATAACGTTGGATTGAGCATTGGGGGGGCAGTCGAGGTCTGTACCCATTTAAGGGGGTCCAGGGGGTGTGTATTGGCTGGTATCGATTATTGTAGGGGCTACAACCCCCCACCCCGACCCCCCCGTAATGAATGCCCATGGGAATGATCATTTAGAGCTGGCTGCTACTTCAATACATTTTTGTTTCATAATATTATATCATGGTCGGTTCCTCCATCGTACGCAAGCCTGGAATTTCTGGGGATTCATGCGTTACATCCAACTCTGTGCTAATCTTTAGCACGGGAGAATCACGCTAAGCTGACCCTTCCGATCAGCTGGTCATTCTGCACAATAAAGACTTCAAAAACTCGCCGTTTATACAGGAACAAATGCATGTGAGGAGATGTGAACGAGATCAGTGTTCAGCTCAGCAGCTGTATATATTTAAATAAATAATAATAATACAAAGCTTGTTGATTAGCGCCAAATTCTTCATAGTTGGTCCAGGACTGAGGACCCCTCATTTGAACAGGCACTTCGGAGGCTGCCCAGTTCCCATGTTACTGTGCTAATGTACAAAATGAGGATAAATATGTATTATTGTGTTCAGGCAGGTGCAGGATGGAAAAAATATAATAAGCATTTTTCTTCCCCTATGACCGCAGAGATGAAAAATGACAATGTTTTCTCATCTCATTGCTGCCGCAGCCTAATTAGCCGGCCGACGGTGTAATCGATGGCGTCCCCAGGAAGCGGAATCCAGTCAGACCGAGGGGAAGGGGAGAGGCGGAAAACGCCGGAATATATTAAAACTGCAGCCTCCAGCATTGCATTTAGAGTCCTCATGCTGCATGGGAAACTGAATATCCACAAAGGGTTTCAGTGGTGGGGGGGTGGGGGGGGGGTTGATACACTTGTCACAGAAGGATGACCTCATCGTGCCCCTAGTCACCAAGACAGCAGGTTTCTGCGGTGATATTAATATACTGAGCAGCACTGCCAGGTTTCCCTGTAATAATGGCCTTGTTATCTTTTTTCTTCCTGCTCAGAATGCCTTGAAACCTGCTTTTTCAGTTCCCCTAGTCCTGCATTAAAAATCTGAAAATCTGGTCAAATGCTAAAAGTTTACCCATCATGCTTTGGGAAATGTACTTCCTGACTATCAAGTTAATTGTTATATATAGAACTTCAACACCACCCCCAATCACCCCCTACCCCAAATCTCTCCTACTGAATAAGCCCATCAAACCAAGCAATCAAATTACAGTTTATGGAATCTGTTTTGACCCCCCCCCCCCCCCCCCAAATATCTGGGGGGATCATTAAGCATGTGCCACAAATGGGCTTGAGTTTCTTGCATCGGAATGGGAAGAGGGAGGAGAGGCACACAGCCGATGCAGTAAAGGAATGCGCCCCGGATTGCCGCGGATTTCAGCACGGTTACCGAAGCTTCGGCGATGGCGTCAGTCAGCGAGGCAATGCCGCGTGACAGAACCCCAACAGCACCTTTCAGAAACTCCATTCTTCTCATTTTCCATGCAAGATACAGCATGAATCAGGTGAAGATGGCACTGGGCTTTTTCTTTGCCGGTTTCTTAAATTTTGTTCCATAGCAACCGTGACAGTGTTGCAGTTCCCCCAAAGCTAGCCAGGGGGTGCTATAGCTGTTCGCAGTGCTGCACCTGGGCGTGGCTAGGAGGTACCGGGAGTCCCAGCAGGGCCTTCCTGTATGTTTACTCGTCACGACACATGGCATTTCTCTACGCAACACGTGCTTATTTACTCTGACGCGTAATACCAATGTTGGGCTTTGTTTGCAAAACCCTGTGACAACAGAGTGGACGAAGGCTACAGAAATGAGTCACATGACCAAGGATCAGGTGCTTGCGTGTTGAGTACTTGACATTGGGACATATTTCTTGGGTGCTAGGACATTCTTGGGAGGTGCCATATCTGCTCTAAACAAGGCAAGTCAAGAACAAAAGGACAAGCCATACACACGCATGCATGTTTGCATTTATGTCTTTCTGGAAAGTTCTGACTGATTCTGAATTTAGTACAACTATTCTTAACCTCATTCCAAAAGTAAAACACATGACAACTAATATCAAACATTTGATTTTGTGTATTTTAGTTTTTTAATGTGCATTTCCTGAAACTTTGTTCCCGTCAGAGGAAAAGTCTCATGCACACACAGTGAGGACACCAAGCTGGGTGAAGACAAGGGAAACTCCCGTCGATTCCTGCGGCCGTCACACTCCAGCTGTGACACGAGTCGTCTCCGTGACGACGAGGGTGCCGTCGGCAAGCAGGTGTGCCCCTACTGGCCAGAAGCCGCTCCGCGTCGTCACGGGCATGTTGAGACATGTAGAGTCCCTTCTGAAAACGTGCTCTGAAACACCTCACCCCAAAGATCCTGACCCAAGAGCTCCGTGTGTACGGGCAGATCTCCAAGGCTCCACATGGAACCTACATTAGATACTTCCCACAAGCCCCTGGACATCAGAGCCTGACGTCACAGCTGCCGAATGCCGAGGTGGGTTTAAAGTGGGCGGCCCTGCCCCTGATGGCCTCCCATGACACGTCGGTGCCACGTCAGTCCGCAAAACTCCCCTACCACCACCGCCTACTCAGCCAGTTTAAGACGTACGCAACCCGATAATGAAAATGCAGGACTGGAACATGCAGGAGGCCCCAGAGACAAGTCGAGCAAAATAAAACTGGGCCATCTTCCTTCAGCTGTGGGACTCGAATGTGGCTGGGGAGGGAATTCTCCTGCAGTGATCCGATTGGCTGGGAGAGGTCACTCCTCCCCATTAAATTCTCAATGACGCAGAAAGCTCAACTTCAACGCTTCCGCTGACCACCTTGGCAACCTGCTCTTGGCTGATGTCGACTGGGTGGGCGATGTGGCTT